ATCTTCATGAGTCTCGAAGGCGAGAACCAGTTTCGCTACATTGGCACGTGGATCCTCGTGGCCGGCATGGTCGCGTCGCTCCTCACGCAGACGCATGCGCTCAACAAGGCGACGATGGCCGGCGACACGATGAGCACGTTTCCCGTCTTCCAGGCGTTCTGGATTGGCATGAGCAACATTAGCGGCATTGTGTTTTTCCAGCAAGCGCACTCGTTCACGATGGCGCAGTGGATCATGTTTCCGAGCGCGCTCCTCCTCGTCATGGTGGGCATTGTGCTCGTCGCCAAGCACGAGAAGATGGGCAACCACGTCAAGTACTCGGTCGCGATGCCGCTTCAGCTGAGCAGCCCGCGCCAGCACGACATTGTCGCGCAGTCGTTTCTCTTCAAAGAGCTCACGCCGCAAACGACCGAAGACCGCCTTGACGTGGAGGGCTACGACAACATTGAAATCTCGGACCACGTCGAGGTGGTGGCGGCGTAAAGCTCTGCGTTCCTGTTTTATTTAATAGCATGCGCCCGTGGTGTTAAATCCAATTCTGTTTGAAGTGTACTCCGCTCGTGCATGACTTGTACGTGGATCATTGCACTGATATAGGACCGTCGTCGGTCAGGACGTGGGGGTAGGGTTACCAAGGGTTTTACGCTAGCAACGACAATGCTTGCACACTGAAGACGTGATATCTTCCTCATCATCTCTATCTGTGCAGTGGCAAAAGCAGCTGGATGCTCGAACCAAAGACGCCCCGGAGCGCCCGACGGACATCGAGGCTTTGCACGCTGATGAGCTCGATGAGCTGCGGGTAGAGCCACGGCAAGTGGCGCAGCATCTACGCGCATATCCTCATATCACGTTCCATGGACCGCGTCGGATGAGGTACCTCGTCTTCGGAAAAGGTCGCCATCGTCTGCAGCATGTCGACGACGAGCGGGACGTACCCAAACGACCGCTGGTGCTGGTCCACGCTGAGCCACGTCGGCTCGGGCTTCTCGAGGCTCCACGCCAAGTACTCGGCCAACGTGCGCTGCACGAGCTGCGCAAACGGCCCGCGCATCGCGTCCAAATTGTGCACGAGCACTTTCAAGTACTCACGCGTCCCTGCAATCTCTTGCGACAGCAAATGCGGGAGTTCGCCCGACGCGAGGCTGCCGTAGCGCCACTCGAGTGCATACAGCGCCTGGCGCACGTCCACGTCGTCGTTGACGCGGCGGGCGACCACACACGTGTCGAGAAGACAGGCCTAGCATCACATTACAATCCAACATTCCACCGAGAAGACGACGAGGCGTGGCATACCAAGAGCGACTCGAAACACGGGCGTGGCAGCGACGCCATGTGCACGAGGACGTTGCCGAGGATGCGCTGGAGCTCGAGGAGCACCAGCATGTGCGTGAGCGGCGGCGCCTTGGTGATGGTCCACGTCGTCGGAAACAAGGCCGCGCGCACGCTTGGGTACATGGCTGCCTCGGCAGGTGGCGTCGTCGTCTCAGCAGCGACGGGCGGCGGCGGAAAGAGCCTATATGATCAACCACGCGCGTGTGATGACAACTCATGCCACGTGCGCACGGCAGATGACAAACCAGTGCGGGACCAAATGATTGGCGATCGACGTGAGTGAAAACGTGAGGCTGTCCCAAATCTCGTCGTCAAATTGGTGTCCGTGCTCGAGCAAGAGGTGTTCGAGTGCGATCGCTGCCGCGCACGCAAGCTGCTCTTCGGGCTCGTCCGTGAGCCAGTGCGCGAGAAGGTGCTACACGTGTTGCACTATTGCAAACGAAAAAAGTTAGGAAAAAGTACGTACCACGATCTCGGGCACGTGGGCGACGACCTTGAAGTACGACCCATACAAATGCACGAGCGCCAGCAGCGCCTTCTTGGACGTCTTGCGGTTAAAGACCGACGACGAGTGCGTCTCGATGCGCCGGATGTGCTCCATGAGCGGGATCAGAAGCGTCTTGAAGATGACGTGCCAGAGACTCGCGCCAATCACATGGCCGTGGCGATGCAAGCTCCCATACAGCGTGTCGAGTGCCGCGTGCCTAGATAGATACCCATTGCAATCACCCGTCGCGTTTGCAAGACGAGGTACCGA